TACCCTTTCTCGTCACAATATCATACTTCTCAGGTGTACACACTATCACCTGCGTCTGCATAAACTGCTCTTTATTCATTTGCGTGTCTCCGGTCATCTCACCTACCTGAATATCATTTACTATTATTACTATTATCTTATTATTACTTACTATTAATTACTTTTATTATTATTACTTTTACTTATATTACTACTTATTACTCATCTTAATTACTTGTCATATTACTTTTATCATTACTAACAACAAACAAACAACAAACATAACAATAACAATAATAAAAATAAACAATAATAACAACATTACTATCATCATATTATTACTTACTATTAATTACTTTTACTATCACTATTACTTTTACGTTTACTCATCACATTACTTATATTACTACTTATTACTCATCTTAATTACTTGTCATATAACTTTTATTACTATTAACAACAAACAAACACAACAACAATAATAACAATAAATAATAAAAAATAATAATAATAAATAATAAAAACGCACATTAATATTATAAGGCGCGAGTCTCTTAGTGAAGTTGCCGACCATCTCCTGCACGAGACTCTTCATCGGCGCTATATAAATACACTTAAACTCATCCGCCCGAACCTTGCCGTCGTCCGACATGTGCTTCGAGATCTCTCTCAATATACACAACAACGCCACGTTCGTCTTGCCTGCTCCCTTCAATTAACATTATTATTTATTATTATTATTATTATTATTATATACATAATATTTATTATTACTATCAAGTAATATCTATTATACATAATATTTATCATTACTATCACGTAATATTCACAAAAATATATAATATTCATTACTATTACCACATAATATTTATCAATATATACAATATTTATTACTATTACCACATAATATTTATTATTATATATAATATTTATTATTATACATAATATTTACTATCATATATAACATTTCTATCAATAAAAAATAACAAAAACAATAACAAATAATAATAAATAACAATAATAAATAATAATAAATAATACCCACCGTCGGCGCACACAACAGCAAATGTTCGTCAGTCTTCAACGCCGCATCGCATAATTTCGACTGTATTCTATTGAGTGTCTTATAACCCTCGAATGCCGGTTGCGCGTACTTCGGTAATTCCACTATTGGTACCAATTTCTGGAATTTTTTAATATCAGTACAATAAAATAATAATAAATAATAAATAAACAATAAAAATAATAATAAATAAACAATAAAAATAATAAATAAACAATAAAAACAATAAAATAATAACAAATAATTCACCTCCCCATCATCAAATGGTTTCGGTTTCAAGGCTGGCACGTGAACCTCTTCGTAACTCTTTCGCTGCTTACGGAATGATCCGTCTGGTAGATGACATCTCTATAATTTTATATAATAATAATAATAAATAATAATAAATAACAATAATAAATAATAATAAA